TTACGTACGTAACCCTCGTTCCCTGATGGAGGGAACGGAGACGTTATGTCGAACGACATATGGGGTCTCACTTGGGAGGCCAATCATCTCTGAGTTTAAGAGAAAACGCCAATGAAAATTGGCTAGTGGATTTTGCATGCTGAGCCACTCCCCGTGCTTACGGGTATATAAGGGGACAGCGCGCATTCACTCATTAGATTTTATGCTGAGGAGCCGAGAACGTGTCCCGGCAACAGCGAATGGTTCAAGGTTGTGGCATGGGGACATAACGTCTCCGTTCCCTCTATCAGGGAATGAGGGTTATGTAGGGACATTCCCTATCTGTCGGTCACTACGAGTTATGTCGAACGACATATGGGGTCCATGGAAAACGCCACAACCTGAACACCGTCACAACCCTGTGGCGCTGCAATTGTTGACAAGCCGTGGCGTGCCACAAAAGTTACGTTAAGGTCGTAACCTTCCCAAAGCCCCAGCGCAAATTCACTGACCTTGGTACCGAAGGGGACCAAACGGTGAGTACATCGCTGCTGGAGAAGGCCATGCTGCTGTTCCGTCCACAAAAAAGTTTTTGGAAGGGATTTCAACCTTCAGCGAAAGATTGCTTCAAATTTTTCCTATTTGTTCTTTCAGCCTGGCAGAACGATGGGGAAGCGAGCCTTAAGGGAAAAGGTCGCTACGGAGACCACATCCTACCCGTAGGGAGGTGACATGTGGAAATACTGATATGGACTGACCCAGGGGGCAGTACTACATATGGAATAGGTCTCTGAGGCAGGTCCTACCTTAGAGTAGGGATGGAACAACTGCCAGAAGAGACTTACAAAGCGGGTCTGTCAAGGGAAGACACGGGTTTACAGAGAGGGAAACCTTGCCGTGGAAGAATACACATATGGGATTACCCGTAGGGAATCAAGCCATATGGACACCTAGCCCAGTACAGGGGCTGACCGGGACTCCGGGCATGCTAACACCAGTCCTGGACCTGGCGTCAGACTGCTCCGCCAAGTCTGACTGCCGGGTGTGCTGGAGGATGCTCGACCAGGGTTCGCCAACTGGGGAACTCTGCTGGGAGAATAAAGGCGCTCCCCGTGTGAGGGGGAATGGCGCAGCAAGCGTGACACCGAGCCAGATCTTCCCGCCAATTACCTGTTACCCAACACACGGGAAGAACTCCCGTAAGATCCTCTACACGAAGGATGTAAAACCTCTCGAAGGTGTTAGGTGTCGCCCAGCCCACAGCTTGACACATGTCTGCCAGAGAGGCGCATTGCGTCAGCGCCCAGGAGGAGGCAATCCCTGAAGGGAGTGGTAGGAACCTTGGGCACGTATCCAGGCCAGGGTCTCAGGACAACGTGAGAGTTGGCCGGCCCAAACACAAGGCACTCTTCACTTGACTGCATCGTGATGTGCTGCGATAGCAGCGACATACACTTTCAAGGTGTATAGTGGATAGTGTCTACCACCGCTGGTGGTATGTCACTTAGGTCTGCCGCGTCCCATCCAGAAGCCACACATGGAGGTTCCAGAGATCTGGACGCGGGTGCCATATGGTGCCCAGCCCCTGAGAAAGAATGTCCTTCCTCAGGGGGATGCGCCAGGGAGGGGCTGTCACAAGGAGCATGAGTTCGAACAATAATGAGAAATTAAGTGAAATACATTTAAATAATAAATTACTAAAAACCAAAATGGAAATAAAAATAAATTATTTATATATATATATATATATATAAGAAAAAACTAAAACTTAAATTAAACAAAAATTAGAGATTTAACTGAAATACGTTTAAATAATAAAATTACTACAACTAAAACAAAAAAATAATAATTAAAGCTATATTTAAATATTAAGGGGAAAAAATTTAAAAAGAAATTACAAAATGACTAAATTTTAAACTGAAATTAAAATGAAAACTAAAAATATATAAATAAAACCTAATTCTAATTATTAATAAATACTATAAAAGCATATAAATAATACTAAAAACAACATTGGTCTCAAAAAACAGTGGCGTTTCGAATGAATCCAGTCAGACTTAATTTCCTACAGGTTTGTAACCTTGACATCATTTGAGATGAAACAGGACAGTGAACAGTTTCTGAGGCACATCTGGGTGAAAAGTGTTAGTATTTGGGACGGCGTCTCACATGTCTTTGATTCCCACTCCAGGACACTCGTCTATGATGACGATGCCGTGCCGGTCAGCCATCTGCAAGATCTCCTCGGCGTAGGGATAGTGACTGGTGCGGAACGAGTTCACTCCCATCCACTTCATCAGGTTAAAGTCCTTCACCACCAGAGGCCAGTCGAAGCCTTTCCCTCGGATCTGCGACACAAACCGCAGGGTCAGTGAGGTGACAATACAGTGTTATACTCTCATAGGATCAGTGTGTGTCCGTGAACTCTGACTCTGAGCAAACATCAGCTATAATAACAGAAGCACAGGAGGATGCGGTTGTGTGGGTGAATTAAATGCTGGTATCAGCTGCTTTTACCACTTTACGCACTCTTAAAGCGACACTCTTAAAACAGTCTCAAACACATATGACTTTCTTTCTTCCGTAGCAGAATGTTAAAACTGAGCTTAATGATAAAATAAAAGGAGACGATGTGAAGTTAAACATCCAACGTCCAAGTACTAATTAGTTTAAGTACTAAAATAAAAATTAATTAAAGCTAAACTGAAATATAAAATAAACAAAAACAATTAAAATGACAAAAGCACATAACAAAATTACTAAAAATGTAACTAAAATTAAAAATAAAAGGAGACCATGTGCATATTCATACAATTGCATTCTAATTCTAATTAGAAATATTGCCTTGGCAACTAATTGAAATAAAAGATAAAATGATTACGTACTAAATTTACTAAAACTAAATCTGAAATCAATTAAAGCTAAATATACACCCCCCCACAAAAAAGGAATAAAAATGACCAAAGCACATAACAAAATTAATAAAACAAACTAAATTAAACATGAAAACTGAAAATACATCAAATAAATTGAAAAAAGTGAGTATTAAGGTAAAATTAAAATAAATAGAAACTGAAAATGCATAAAATAAAAGCTCAAAATATTAATAAATATAAAAGACAAGATGGAATGAGAAAAAATTTAAGTATTGAAATTACTAAAACTAAATCAAAAATAAAATAAATTCAAATAAAAAATAATAAAAATGACAAAAGCACATAACAAAATTACCAAAACTTAAACTAAAATGAAAAGAAAAACTGATAGTATATAAAATAAATGTTAAAAATATTATTATTATTATTATTAATAATAATAATAATAACAATAAAAAGAAAACTATGTGCATGATCATTCATTAGAATTAGAATACATTTTAATTAATAATTAGCCTTGGCAACTAATTGAAATAAAATAAATGTAAGTACTAAAATTACTGAAAAAAAAAAAAAACAGTTAAAGATTAATTAAAATGAAAAAAAAAAGAAAAGAATAAAAATGTCAAAAAGCAACAAAATTACTAAAATGTAAACTAAAATTAAAAGGAAAACTGATAATACATAAAATTTAAAAAAATTTAAATATTATTAATATTAATAATTTTGCTAAAAATATTATTATTATTATTATTAATAATAATAATAATAACAATAAAAAGAAAACTATGTGCATGATCATTCATTAGAATTAGAATACATTTTAATTAATAATTAGCCTTGGCAACTAATTGAAATAAAATAAATGTAAGTACTAAAATTACTGAAAAAAAAAAAAAACAGTTAAAGATTAATTAAAATGAAAAAAAAAAGAAAAGAATAAAAATGTCAAAAAGCAACAAAATTACTAAAATGTAAACTAAAATTAAAAGGAAAACTGATAATACATAAAATTAAAAAAAAATTAAATATTATTAATATTAATAATTTTGCATTGTAACTAAAATTTGAATAAATTACTAATGTTGCTTGGCAACTAAGTACTAAAATTACTAAAACTTAAATTAAAATGAAAACTGAAAATACATAAAACAAAAATATAATCTAAAAGAAAAGATCATGTGTGTGTGTATTGATTCAGTCGCACTGTAATCGGCACACAAGAGCCAATGCATCTCTTGATGCAGTACGACTGAAAATGTGCAAAGCATGAATGAGACTTCAGAGCTTTTCAATGCATAGTGTTTCAGTCTGCTCCACATATGATTTCAGGCGACTCTGAATATAACGCGCGAGTCTTATGAACTACTTTATGAAACTTTATGGTGTCATTTTTGGAGCTTGACAGCATCAAACCTCAGTCACTTGGAAAAGAGCAGCGTAAACACTAAACTTCTGCATTCCACAGAAGAAAGAAAGCCGTACAGGTTTGATCTGATGTGAGGGCCAAAACAGTCATTTCTAGCTCTCAGTTCCTATAGAAGAGTCAGTCAGTGGTCAGTATCGTCTGGTGTCACTCACGTCTGCGTCCTCGTGTTTGTTGACCCCGTGGAAGTAAAACGGCTTGTTGTTGATGAGAAACTGTGTGCTGGTGACTTTAACGGTGCGAATTCCCACAGGAAGAGTGTAGACATCCGTCTGTCCGTCCTCTGCTGTCGCCTGAACCTACAAAAAGTTTAGCAATCGACAGCAATATTTACCTACATATACAGTATTTTAAACTGAAACATTTTAATGCATGAAAAATGCCATGCAGAAACGTGTTTCAGTGTTTTTGATTAATGCTGCAAGCAAACAATACATTGAATCTATAAAAAAAAATTTTTTTTAAAAATTGTAATTTGAAATCAAATTAAAATAAATCTAAAAATAAAATTTTCATTTAGTTCACCTGATTAACAGAACTCAAACACAAGCTGAAAAAATTATGAAAACTATTTAGACATTAAAAAAAAAAACGAATAAAAATTTAAATTTAAAACGAAAACAGAAAATATAAAAATAAAAACTAACTCAGATTATTAATAAAAACTATAATAGTATCTCAGTGATACTAAAATAACACTGGTTTGAACGGATTCATAGACATTAATCTCATTTTCATTTAGTTTACAGACGATTTATTTAATAGTACAATAATACAAATTATTTGTACAAGTGATTTATTTAATAGAGTTTTAAATCAACTCACACAGTTTGAACCAGGGTTATTATAGTTATTACATTTTTGTTATTTGAAATAAAATATTAACTTATTTTTCCTCTAGTTTCCAATGCAACATTTCAAATTTTCATTTAGTTTACCTTTATGTACTAAAATAACTAAAACACAAACTGAACTAAAAAGAAATAAAAACTATATAGACATATAAAAAAGACTATTTCAAAAAACAAAAAATACTAAACCTTTAAGAAAATTTAAAATGAAAACAAAACAGATTATTAATAAAAACTTTAATACTATCTCAATGATACTAAAATAACACCGGTTTGAACGGATTCACAGAAATTAATCTCTAAACTTAGTAACACTTTACCAACTAATGTACCATAACGACATTAGTTAACATGAACTAATAATGAAATAATTTGAGTTCATACTTAATTTCAACGTTTATTAATGCATTATTAAAATGAAAAATGTTGTATTTGTTAACGCTCATACTTGTGAGACAAATAATGATCGCTAGATTAGTCGAATGACACAAAATGGCCACATAAAAGCATTATAACTAGTGCAACATTAAAAAGGAAAATCTTTTTTTACACTTATGCATTTGGCAGATGCATTTATCCAAAGTAACTTGCATTTGCATTGCATTTTAATAGTGCATGCATTCCCAATAATACTGTGTATATATGAGGCACCTGGCCGTATGGGAAACTGTTCTCGACACTGACCTCCATGGAGTAAAGGTAAGCTGGGTTTTCGTGCATCAGATACGGCCACCAGAGGCTGACGTCTGTGACTTTGAGCACTCCTCTGGAGCCGTCGGCCGAAGCCACACATCTGCCGTCTTGAGCCGAGAGCGTGACTTTCACAGCGGCTTTAGAGCAGCCCAACACGGACACGTTAAAACTGACCAGCCCTAAAACACAGGACAGACACATGATCGGATGAGTCGGACTAAATCAACGAACATTTGCTAAAGCAAGCTCTACAGGCAGCGTCTGGGGCCTAATGTTCATTATCATAGAAAATAATGTGACACACTGAATGCAAAATATGAATGATTTATATGCAATATTATGCTTAATAACATGCGTTTCATAGTGGAACAAGACGTTGGTGGACTACGTTGACAATAGCCTTTCAATACAATACAACTTTACTGTTTGAGAAGCCAGCAATATAAAATATGTTAAAAACAAGCATACACATAAAGCACATACAATAAAAAATAAATGCATACATACAGTACATGCATTCAGAGAATGTAACAACATTTTTTCTGATCTGAACATTTAGTACCTTTCTTAATAAACACAATATAGGATGTTATTTTCACCAAAAAAGAACAAAGCTTACACTTTAAATAATGCTTTTTCAAAGTTTATTGGATTATTGGAGTATGAAAATACTATTTCAGTCTTTCTACTTCAAAATTTCACTTTGATTTAATGCGTTACTTGCCTTTTCTTTATAATTATTTGTGAAATCTACTAGCAATTTCTTGTTTCAAAGTAAATCCTACACAAGTTTAAGTGCACCACTCCATTTCAATTGTTATATAAATAACTCAATTGTTATATACAAATCTATTTGTATCTATTATATATTAGACTAGCGCAAATTCCCTTCAGTTCATTTGGCGGCCCAAAATCTGACATGAACGGTCTGATAAATGTTGTTTCTTGCACTCAAATAGCATTAAAAAGTGTATATTTCTAGTTTCTATTGGATGTGGAGCTTTCTATGTATACTATATTTAATATTTAAACAGTCAAGACTATGTAAATCAAGTAAAATAAAGCAATAAGCCCCAAAAAGCCGCTTCGCGTCGTGCCTAACAACGCCCCTTAGCTGTTATAAATTCACTGTAAACCACGGCTTCACGGGGTTTATTGCTTTTATAAAACGGTTATTCCATATACTTAGTAAGGTTTCACAAAATAAAACAGAGCAAATAAAGTGTAATGATATTAATCCGCCAAACAATGTAGCTCCTCAGAAACAGATGTGGTTGCAACAAAGTGGTTGCCGAGCAACACAGAAGTAAACAAAGGTGTGTGTTACTTTGTAGAGTAATTTACAACAGCTTCGAACGCGGCTCAGCCAATCAGAATCAAGCACCGGAACTCTCCGTTTTATAAATGTTATTTTGTAACATGCAAGTGAGATATTTTCTGTTAATGTGCAAGACTTCTGATTCATTAGCTGCTGTATGTAAACAACTAGAAGGAAAATAAAAGTACAATAAAAGGTAAAACGATTTACTCTACAAACTAGTGTGTTTATGATTATGATATTAAAATAATATGATAACAAATACCAGTCTACAATATCAAGCAACTGTTTTGTGCAGCTAAAATGATTGGAAGCACATTCAAGTTACCATTATCCAAATCTGCTCTTATGTTACAAATAAGGTGGATAATGACAGATTTCGGCTGATGTTTACCGATGTTATCAGAGAACGCCGTCTCCACTGAGATGTCATCAATGTGCGCCTTCGGTGTGGTGTACAGCAGGACCGGCCGGTGTATTCCAGCGTAGTTGAAGAAATCAAAGTTAGTGTTCTGAACGAAGTAGCCAGCAGGGTATCTGAGAGGGAACGAAGGTGTTTATCATCATCTAACAATCTGTATTATTTACTGGTTATAGCCTTCACTATGATTGTCCATTATTATTAATTAACGTTTAGTTGAACTATCTGAACTGAATATGGGGGAGTGCTGGGGATCCGTGGAAATGTTTAGAGAAAAAAAAACAGTTTAAAAGCTTTTTAAAAATGAATAAATAATAATAAAAAATTAATTAAAATAAACAAAAATCAGATTAAAATAAAAAAATTGATTGATTAACCCCTTAACTGTCACCCCCCCATTTTTTAAAATAGGCATGAAAGTGCACTATCCAAACTTAAATTGTTGTAATTTATGAACACTTTGGAATACAGACATAAGGTTGGTCTTAAGGTCGCAAAAGTGGAATTTTTTCAAAAAATTTAAGTATCAAAAAGTTATAGTAGTTTAAATTTACTGTAAAGAAAATGCACTATATTAATTTTATTTTATATATAATAAATATTTTACATATTAGGTTTTACTCTAAAATTGGTATACAATTATAGCCTTATGTCTAAATAAGTTATGTTCCAAATTTGAAGTTGATATGAAAAAAATTGAGGTTCCTGTGAGATTTTATTTAGGGTGATATACCACAAACAGCCACCGGGTGACACCCAAACTCCATTTAATTTTTTTTAATGCATTTTTCTGTCACAAATGTCTAGATTTCTCTGTCAATATTACTTCTATCCACCAAATATGGAATCCTGAGACTCAGACCTTTCCAATGATATGTTTTTTGTCAAGATTCGATTTCTCTGTCAATATTGGCTCTATTTTGTCATAAATGTATAAATTTCACTGTAAATTATCCACCTAATATGGAATCCTGAGACTCAGACCTTTCCAATGATATGTTTTTTGTCAAGATTATAAAAAGTTTTGATTTCAAAAGACCGTAATTCATTTTGTAATATGACACTTGACACTGCCCGCTAAGGGGGAGGAGACCGCCAAAAGATTTTAAAGTACCATTTCTAGGGTAAAGCAATGTCTGATTTCGAAATGGTTTTCACAGGATGAATCTTGGGCTTCTAAGCTTTCAAATGATATTGTAATATGACACTTGACACTGCCCGCTAAGGGGGAGGAGACCGCCAAAAGATTTTAAAGTACCATTTCTAGGGTAAAGCAATGTCTGATTTCGAAATGGTTTTCACAGGATGAATCTTGGGCTTCTAAGCTTTCAAATAATATATGATTTATGATGATTACTAAAAGATTTGATAGAGAAAAAAGACACAAAAAAAGAGCACCAAACGTCCCACAGGTGGGACGGTGACAGTTAAGGTTAAATAAGTGTGTAAATAAATAATACATCTAACCATACAGTGCTATAATGAGTAGAAAAAAACTGTCGATACAGCATAGTATCGCGATATTTTATAGTTGAAAAAAATATAATAATTCGCAAAATGTTATCGCAATACTCATATAATATTGCATAATATTATACTTGCAATAATATAAAAAATAAATAAATAAAATTACAAAAAAAATTTTTTTTTGTATATTTGGTTTAAGTAATAATATTGTATCATGGCTTAAGTATTGTGATGATATTGTATTATTTGATATACTTAATATGCTACTTCTATTAGCTAAATTTGGTGTACATAAATGTAAATATAGGGGAAGTAAGCCATTGTTTTTAAAAGCAGAAGTTCGACAATATTATATTAATTGCCCAATCCCAAATGAAAGCAGAAGAACAAAATGATATGTCAAAACATTTAAATGGTTGTTTTTGTGTTATATGTTCATGAAAACAGAAGGACAAAAAAACAGTGTACGTGTTAGAAATCAAGGATTTTTGAGAGGCCTGTATGATATCAAATAAATTATAATTAATAATGATCCACTGATAATTAATAATGTTTTGTTGAATTATCTGAACTGAATATGGGGCTCCACGAGAGTGTTAGGGGATCCATGGAAATGTTAAGAGGAAAAGTGTAAAAATGTTTTAAAAAGTTAAAAAATAATATTGTAAAAAAAAAAATATCTGATTAAAATTTGTTTAAGTGGAGTATTTTGAGCTGAAACTTCACAGACACATTCTGGGGACACCTGAGACTTATATTACGTATTGTAAAAAGGGGCATAATATGTCTCCTTTAAAAAAAATCTGAATAAAATAATAAATAAACAGATAAAAACTAGTAAATAAATAATACTTCGAACAGTACAGTGCTATAATAAGTAGAAAATTAACTTAATAGAGTCTAAATATTTTTCAAATAAGATTTATATTATTAATTTTACACACTTTAAATTGAGTCTTTATGCAAAAAATATATATAGATGCCTTTTAATTTTTAAGATGGGGTTCCTCACAGGAGAATGATCTTATTTAGAGGTTTTTAGCATCTAAAATATTTAAAAACGCCCGTGTTACTCATTTTCAGTGATTTTTATGGCCACTATACGGGTGATGTTTGTCATCTGACCTGCTGCGATCGTTCATGTACTGGATGGTTCCCGGTGGAAGCGTCTCTAGAGTCAAAGTGTTGTTCACAGCGATGGTGATTCGACACGGATTCCCGCTCGTCTGCCGCAGCGCGCCGCTGATGTCCGCCTCAAACGGGAGATGACCGCCCTCGTGCTCGGTCATCTCGACCCCGTTCACCCACTGCGAGATGCACACATCACAGATCCTGAGACTGTGACTAATCACGATTCAAAGACAACCATCTGCATCCCACAGACTTACAAGCACTGAGTAATAGTGAGCGCTTCCCACTCGGAGCACGATCCGCGCTCCCCGGTCCTGGATCCAGCGCGCCGGCACCCATACGTCCTTCTCATACCACACCCAGCCAATGAAATCCCGGATTTTGGCGTCTTGTGTGATGTCATTGTAGCTGGATGGCACCGGCATGTCAATAACAGGCCCCGTCTGGAATAAAAAACACTAACATAAACACCTAAAACACACTCAGAATGCAAACTGAATGATTGCATATGCAATATTATGCAATGATATGAGTTGGCTTTTATTCATTTATTTCACAACATTCAGTACTGTTCTTAATACAGAGGATGTTTCTCAAGAAACCTTACAAAACACACATATTGCACATCAGTGTATTGTGCAAAAAGAGCAAAAGAAGACGACTGATCAGGGAATGAATGCAAAGGACTGTGTGTAAATAAATAATAAGACCTTAGATTAAATTAAATAAATAAATAAATGTAATAAAAATTAAAAAAAATTTTTTTAAATAATAATAAATTATTTTAGTAAATTTATATGGTATTTAACCCTAACAGTACAGTATTACGTAGAAAACAAACATAATAATGCAGCATTATGGGAGTCTGCAAAATATTAGAGACAATTTGAATAACATAAATAAATAAGACACTAGATTAAACTAAATAAATTTTGAAAATAATTAAAATAATTTATTACATAAATAATATGGTACATAATCCTAACAGTACCGTATTATAGTAAGTAGAAAACAAACGTAATAATGAAGCATTATGGGTAACCGTGGAAAATATTAGAGAAAAACTGAGTAAAACACTTGAAAATAAAAATAAATACACAAGATTAAACTAAATGAATTAAAATATGCTTAAAATATAATTATTAAATAATAATAAGTTGTTTTAGTAAATAAATAATATGGTACGTAATCCTAACAGTACAGTATTATAGTACATAGAAAACAAACGTAATAATAAAGCATTAATGGTACCCGTGGAAAATATTAAGAGAATAATAATAATAAAATAATAATAAGACACTAGATTAAACTAAATACATTTGAAAATAAAAATAAATAATAAGACACTAAATTAAATAAAATATGTTTAAAATCAAATTTTTAAATAATAATAAGTTGTTTTAGTAAATATAAATAATATGGTACATATAATAGTAAGTAGAAAACAAACGTAATAATGTAGCATTATAAAAACTAAATATTTTCTAAATAATATTATACACATATTTTTTGGGGGTCTTTAAACATTAAAATATAGAGCTGCCTTTTAAATTTTAGGATGTGGGTCCATCTAAAAAACTGAAAACCTCTGCGTCTCACTGCCTGTTTTTATTTCCATATATACTACAGGTATGAGACTTGAAATATTAGGACTAAAAAATTGAAACAATGAAAAATTATTAAAATTTAATTAATAAATGCACTATTTCCGTGAGATACTCCTCAAATTCGACGATTCGCTCAGATAATATAATTTACACGGAAACATTTGTATTGACTGTAAGTGCGTTAGAGCTCACGTGACCTCCGCCAGCGGACTCCGGTACCACTGCTGCTCAAAGCCGCGGTTCCGCTCCGGAGAGAGATCCGCTCGGAAGCTCCACAGGCCGCTCACGTCCTTCACTTCTCTGGAGGGAGACTCTGTGGGAAACAGCATGCCGCCCTGCAGCGCCTGACACACACCGCAAAGAGCGGCTAGAAGCGCGCATTTCGCTCCGGTTGAGCCCATCATGCGCTGCTCGACGGTCTGTTTACACTCAAGCGCTCCACTTCCGCTGCGCGCGGGACGTCAGCGTGCGTCACGACGCTCCTTTGTTTTTTTTTATTTTTATGTATTTATTTTTTTAAGTCACTTTATTAAACCGTCAAATAATAAACAGGCAGAGCTGTGTAGTAACTGATCACACGTGGCTAACGCGTTTGATTTTAACGTGGGCGTGGTTTGCTCAACGGGGGGCGTGTCCACCGATGCTTTACATTCAGAAACATGCTTTCATTTATTTTGGAGTGCCATTCAGCTTGTTTTCGGTCAGATTTTTATTCATTCATTAAAAGCTCACATCATGGCCAGCTGTCAACTGTGCAAATGTTTTATTCCCCCCCCCCACCCCAG